CAACCGATTTTCGAAAAAGTTATATTTTTGTACAGCTGGGGATATTGCGGATGCGATAACGGCCGAATTGAAATACCACGTCGTTCTCAATTTTTCTTTAAAATTTGAAAATTTACTAAAATTGTTATTTCTTGGAATTTTGAGTTTTCGATTACATATTTGGATTGGCGGCGTCTGTTCGATTCTACCGATCTAGGATTATCATGATGTGAATTATTCAACTCTATTTTTCAATTCCCTTCTCTATCGCAATGCGCATGCAAAGAACGTGTCAATTTCTGAGTTATACTAGTGTATTTGGGGGTTTTTTGGGTGGAGGGGGGGAGTGGTGAGGATAGTCTTTTGTCATGCATCTTTTCGATCATGTGACGCCTTGGCACGGTGAAAGCCTTCAGTCTTGCAAGCAAGTCTAGTTCTTCTTATTATTACTATTACTTTTTCCAATTTGATTGTATCTCAGAAACTACTTGTCTGATCGATTCGATGTCTTCGGTTTTACTGGGAAAGTGGGTGTGACTTAGAGATTAAAGCTATTTCGAACGTTCTGTGACTATGCGAAATCTCCGAAATCGCCGAAGTTGTCGATTTTTTAATTATTACCGTAATATTAACAATAATCGTCGGATTTTAACATTGGATACATTTCGACATAGCCAGAGACAAGGTACATAGCTACGGTTCTTTAGATTTTTTTTTATTTTTGACGAATCTTCGGAGATATTCGGCGCGAAATTTTGAAAATTTAAATTTTTACGAAAAACCTTTTTATTAATTAATATTTTTATGTTGTATTTTACCCAGGGTTCAAGATCAAACTGATTTGACCAAAAATGGCAACATTTTTTGTCACTGTATTTTTCCATGGCCCCCACTGGCTAATTTAGTTTTTCAGTCCTGGATTAATTATTCATTGTTCGATTTGTTTAAAACAAGCTTCATATGTTCTTTTTTCCAAAATGTCATTTTTTTTTTCTTACCGATAGTGTTATCTGTCGGCACCGGAAGAGACAGAATTTTAACAAAAACTATAATTTTGACAGTTCGGTACCACTTTTTGAAAGCAAATATTATTTTTTTCAAAATTTAATCTTACCAAAAGGATGCGCCATGCAAAGACGCACAAAACATCTGACTCAGTTTTTTTTAATTTCGATTTCGTTTTCGGGTCATTTCGATTTAAGGGTGAAAAAAAGTGAAAAAATGAGCTATTCACAACCCATTCAGGCTTTTCATGTTTTAAAATATTTCTTCGCAACTTTCATAAACTTGTAGCGATAATCACTATTTACGCTAGTTTGCCTGTAAAAGAGTCCATTATTATTGGATTTTCATAAAAGTGACACCATTTGATGCGTAATGTCAATTTTATTCACAACCCATTCAGGCTTTTCATGTTTTAAAATATTTCTTCGCAACTTTCATAAACCTGTAGCGAAAATCCATACGAAGAGAATGTATGTGAAAATTAGTTTGTAATTATGAGCAGTTGCCGAGGAATGGGCAATTTTGCATGAGTCACTATTTACGCTAGTTTGCCTGTAAAAGAGTCCATTATTATTGGATTTTCATAAAAGTGACACCATTTGATGCGTAATGTCAATTTTAACTAGGTGAAACCAATTTAACATTTTCAATGTCACCGGAAATGACGTAATTTGGTCAATATCCTTCGAGAAACAAATAATTTATTCAAATGAGTCGTATTTGTTTAACATTTTGATATTTGATTCAAATCAACTAATAGAATGAACCCATACGATCATACAGATTTCACAAAAAGGTTTCTACCTTGTTCAGTTGCGGAGAAATAGACGATTTTCAACAGGTAACTGGCTAATTTAGTTTTTCAGTCCTGGATTAATTATTCATTGTTCGATTTGTTTAAAACAAGCTTCATATGTTCTTTTTTCCAAAATGTCATTTTTTTTTTCTTACCGATAGTGTTATCTGTCGGCACCGGAAGAGACAGAATTTTAACAAAAACTATAATTTTGACAGTTCGGTACCACTTTTTGAAAGCAAATATTATTTTTTTCAAAATTTAATCTTACCAAAAGGATGCGCCATGCAAAGACGCACAAAACATCTGACTCAGTTTTTTTTAATTTCGATTTCGTTTTCGGGTCATTTCGATTTAAGGGTGAAAAAAAGTGAAAAAATGAGCTATTCACAACCCATTCAGGCTTTTCATGTTTTAAAATATTTCTTCGCAACTTTCATAAACTTGTAGCGATAATCACTATTTACGCTAGTTTGCCTGTAAAAGAGTCCATTATTATTGGATTTTCATAAAAGTGACACCATTTGATGCGTAATGTCAATTTTATTCACAACCCATTCAGGCTTTTCATGTTTTAAAATATTTCTTCGCAACTTTCATAAACCTGTAGCGAAAATCCATACGAAGAGAATGTATGTGAAAATTAGTTTGTAATTATGAGCAGTTGCCGAGGAATGGGCAATTTTGCATGAGTCACTATTTACGCTAGTTTGCCTGTAAAAGAGTCCATTATTATTGGATTTTCATAAAAGTGACACCATTTGATGCGTAATGTCAATTTTAACTAGGTGAAACCAATTTAACATTTTCAATGTCACCGGAAATGACGTAATTTGGTCAATATCCTTCGAGAAACAAATAATTTATTCAAATGAGTCGTATTTGTTTAACATTTTGATATTTGATTCAAATCAACTAATAGAATGAACCCATACGATCATACAGATTTCACAAAAAGGTTTCTACCTTGTTCAGTTGCGGAGAAATAGACGATTTTCAACAGGTAACTTTTCAAGGTTTTTGGTCCATAAAAGTGTCAATTATTATTCGATTTTTATAAAATTTTCACAGTGTGATACCTAATGCCATTTACGATTTCATACAAGATTTTCATTATCACTGGAAGTAACATCATTTTTGCAAAAAAAATGTATTTTTACTCTTTAAAACGGATATTTTATTCAAATGAATCTGATTTGGAACGTTTTTAAAATTATGATATTTCATTCCTATCAACCAATAGATTGAACTCATACGATCATACAGATACCAAAAAATGGTTTCTAACTTGTGCGGTTGCAGAGAAATAGACGATTTTCTACAAGTCACTCTTCAAGGTTTTTGGTCGATGAAAGTGGAAATCATTATTCGATTTACATAAAATTTTCACCATGTGATGCCTTATGCTATTTCTGATTTCATTAATGTAATTTAACAATTTCGTTATCACCGGAAGTAATGGAATTTTGTCAGGATCACTTACATGTAACAAATGTATACAATGAATTGATATTGCTGGATTTGGTTGATTCTGCGTACATATTATTTGATGTGTGCAATGCATATATGGAAACCTGTTTAATGGTTTCATCAGTACCGGAAGTGACAAATGTTCAAGGGTAACGGGACACCGGTGAAACCCGTCATTACTGCGTCGCAGTTCTAGTTACTATTATTTTTCTTCGGGGGGGGGGGGGGATTTAGTCAGTTTGTGCAGCCAAAACTGTACATGGTGCAAACATTCTGCCAACGTAGACGTGGTTGACCTCCGTGCGTCTATTTATTAAATATAAATTGGGTCATTTTTGACAAACAAGAACTGTTTTAAGTAAGGGACAGAAATAATCTCAGCTCGCCCATATCGCGGTTATTTATCAACGGATCTTCTTCGGGTTTACATTTTTGGATTCTTTGGACAAATCTCATATGGCTCTGACGGACGGTTTTTCGATATTCGAAAGTTCGCTCGATTAATATTAAATTCAAAGATTTACGAAAGTTTTCTTCTTCATTTAAGATGGCGTATTTCCGTCACTGTTTGATTATCAAGTTGAAAGGAACATATCGTTGCATTCAAAATGGCATATTAAAACTTTTTGTGACGGCTTCCAGAAACCTTGTTCAATAACATTTTCAACCACTTGGCCACCATATTGGATTTTACAAAAAAAACATTCAAATCAATATTCAGTCGCCATTTTAATTCCGATTTTCGAAATTATGTATTGAACCTACTCCAAATGGCCACAATCCTTAGGGAGCAGATTTTTGAATTTCGATTCTGTTTACTTCCGGTTCGACTTTTCATCATCCAGATGGTGACCTAATCTTTCCATGACCCCCTCCCTTTGTATGTATAATGACCCTGATGTCTACTAACAATTAATATAAAAAAGTTCGGTCATGAAGTATGACTTCAAAATGACATGTTTTTTCCACTTTAAAGTTACAATTTCAAATTTTCTAAGAAAGTAAAAATATAATTATTTCTATGTCTTTTTCTCAATAGGTTGTCAATTTACTATTATACGATCATGGGTGACATTCTCCCACTTAAAACTCATTTACACCGGAAATAATAACACAATTACCCCCCAATTACCTCCCTTGTTTTCTATTCTCCACCATGGAGTAGCTATCCTCAAACGTTTGAATTGGAAGTTGAAAATGATATTTTTGCCAATTTCTCAACTGGCAATAGTGAATTACAGGATTAATAGGATTATTCTTTAACAAGGTAGGACTGTTTATAAATACCATCTATTTTAGGGCTTTATTTAAATATATTTTAAAAATATAACTTAAAGATATGAAATTGTAACTTTAATAGGTATTGGATGTTACTATACTCAATAATTTATAGAGTGACTTGATTGTTGACGTGACAAGGCGTGACCTGAAGTGACGTGACGTACCGAAACACGTCAGTACTCTTTGGAGTTATAGTTCTACTTGTTTTTTGATATTTCGATGGTACCGAAACACGTAATACAAACACTTTCTAAAACAATCGTGCTCGTACCGAAGATACCGAAACGCGTAATAATATTAATAAAAACTCTTTCGAAAACAAAACGTGTTTCATACTAATGTAAACTGCCAAGTGTCTTAAGGTAGTATACTTGTTGTACTAATACTAATACATTCTTGGTGTGTTATGTTGTTACGCCTTCGAGACATAATGGATATCGCGATTATTGAATTAAATTTATTTACTTACCACAGTGCCTGTTTGTGCATTTAAGTCATCTAAAACTATTTTACTTTCTTCAGAATATCTATCGTTTGTTACCTTGCTATCATTATACAACTGGAAAAAAAGTATGTATATTAAACAATAAATATGTTTCCATTTTATTGAAGAAGATTATCTACAAATTTCTATGTTTTATGACCACTACTAGAAGCCAAACACAAAATTGAAGACTGCTTTCTAGTAATTGCCAAATAGAAAGAGAGGGGAACGATTAATAATTAATTTCAACAAATTTGACCGATTTACAAACTCCATCGGCATATTTAAGCTTGGACGCCATATTGAAAGGCCTGGAGTAACGTAAGTCTAATGTGTCAAACAGGTTGGCAAATGAGCAACATAGAAACATATGTGCCATCCTCCACAAAGACCTCTTTGCGCAAATTATTAGAAATAAAATTGTTTGTCAGGTGTAAACGCTGATCAATCCTTTTATGGTAGTTGACTCAATGATACCCTTGTGATACCCCGCGCACGTGCTAACCATTCGCCCCCCCCCCTCCCCAATATACGCAATAGAAAACCGGAACACTTTAAAAGATGAACATGCTATCGGTGTAGAGTTTATAGCACGAGCTGTATATCTATGCACAAAGCATAACAATAAATATATGTATATGTATAGAATTTAAACAAACCTAACCATTAGCAAGCATGGTCAATCCTTTGAAAGATCTGTAAAGTAACAAGAAATATTTCTGATTGTTGAGATAATACTTACTTGGGCTAGTTTTGTCTCCATAGTAAAAGCATCGTTTACAAATTGCTCAATTCTGATATCTTTGTCAGTTATAATCGGTTTATAATCTCTAATAATGAGATTTGCCAATCTTCTCATAAACTTCTTATAGTCATTTAAATACTAGAAGAAAACAATCGATTAATTGTAATACGACAAATAGTTTTGAGTTTTTCTTAATCATTCGGAGCGATACAATGATGCTATCTTGATGCCTAATAAAAATTACATTTTATCCATGATATGGGTTACTAGGAACGAAATTATACACAGCGGTGTCAATATGAGAAACACATTTCATAATTCCATTTTAAGATTCTCAACAATCTTTTAGAAGCACAATCAATGGAACAATTTAGCACTCTAAAATGCCTTCATTTCACTTCTAGCTTTCACACAATTTAAAACAAATAGAATTGCTCAAAGATCGGATAACCATTCTTTGGATGGACCGACACCTACCACATTGGAAGCCAAACGTAAATTGCTATGGTGTGATGGATGTTTCTGGAATATTTACATTATTATAAGATTCTTTCTAATCATTTGTTTAACCTACCCGTTGATTGCCTGGTGTGATGTATTGGCTCCATCTTAAGAATTTACTAGCCCCCGCAGGATGTAGCTACAAAAAATAAAGGTAAGTACTGACCCGAAATTTGATACACCCACTGCCAAGCTCGTTAATAATTTTACTTTAAATTAATAGCTGGTTTATGTTTTCTATTTGTTACTTTGGTTTACAGAAAACTCGATATACATCTAGACCCGTCTTTATTTTGTTCGTTATGATTTTGAGTTTCCCACCTTTAGCAACAGTTTCTGAAGACTTAAGTAATGTCTGGAGGTTAATAAATCCAGAAACAACGCCCCACCCACCCGCACTCTCCACCTCGCGTACTGTCATCCAAAATACTTCTTTTTGCAATGCATCCCACAAACCAGTTACCTATCTATTTATAATTCGGAAATCATGCATACTATTAATATTGTCTTTTCGTTGTTGTATGCTTTATAAAATAAAATACACATAAAAATCAATAAAGTAAAAGACAAATAAGACATACATGTAGACATTGAAATCGACTCAAAATCTTACAAAATACACCAATACGTAAAGCGAACATTACATATCAATAAGGAGCCATTTTAAAACGGCATTGTTCTGTATATAAATAAAGTGCATGTGAGTGTTACCGGGGAAAATCCCCTAAAAACCAATGCTTATTGAATACGACCACTGTCCCGCAACTCCTGGCCTTAAGTGCTTGAACACGGTAAAAGGGTAATAATTCCTCTTTGTCAATGGTGCAGGATGGGGGCCTGACATGGGACAATGTAAAGTCGTACGGATGGGACAAAAAACCTAGGTCCCGTGTAAACATCGGCGTTCATGTTAAAGAACCCTTGGCAGTTGGAATCCAAAATAAGAGTAGACCTCTGTGCTGCTGTGTCCGGGCAAAAAATCCTTCACAACACACTGTATGGCATATTATGCCTATGTTCGTTATTCAGTCCAAAACAGTAGAGACGTTAAACCCCATTTCATTTCGTTCACTATGAACCACAAGACCCAGAATTTTGTATGTTTTGTTCCGATCCTTTGACCTTTCCGTCAGAGACCCATAGTTCCTCCCACCTTTTATAATGACGTCACCTGTTTGCTCACTAAATTTATTATTTTAGCGTTTTCTGAGATTCTATCCGGATTATCGCCCTTATTGTTAAAATTGTTTGACGTTCTAACTCATGACGTCTACTGGCAGACTATCGCCATTGAGGAGACGACCACTGTCAAGATCGGTCGCATTATTTCTGTTACGTCTTTTTTGTATTCCTGATTGTTTTCAAATTTGAGTGAAGTCTGTGTCACTACAGGCCCGGGACTGTACAGCGCAGTGGACGCTTACGGCTGGCCCCCGGATCCATTCACTTGATTTGATATGTGTTTATTTGGTGCAATGTCTTTTTTACTGTCTTGTCCGCAGGTTTATCTTGTAGATTTTTGTTTTACGTGTAGTGCGGTCCTCATGCACTTACTATTAGACAACATTGACGCGCCTTAGACATAAACAAGCATAGCGATGGCTGAACGACGTTCAATCTTGTGGCAATCTTTTGGACTTTCCCGCTATTCTTTTGGGAATATTTTTGAAAGAGAAGTGCATTGTTAGTTTGAAGTAAAGAAGCAGTGCCCCAGGTACTATAATGAAGGATATTTTCCTGACGCGAACCTGTTTTAGGCGATAGACAGATCAAGCATCAATGTGTCACTGAAACTGAAGTAAAAAACTGGCAAGACAGATACTGAGATAGAACAGGAAACCATATTTATTTCGTTTAAAGGAAGTAACAGACTAACGTTGTTGCTGTCAGACTGGGTAAGCAAATTCTACTTGTTTATTACTTGTTTATTGAGTGAAGCGTAATGAGGAGGGGTGGGGCATACAATGTATGCCATTCTGCTGTCCGGCAACTTTTAAATTAATAAGGATCATCATAGTTGTTTAGCATAGTCTGGTCTGGATTTGATATAAATTTAGAGAAAACCAATGTTGACTATAATATAGGTGCTTCTGTAGATTGCAAGGCCTAGTAGTGACTTGTAATAGTAATACTAATTACTATTATTATAGTGAAATACCAAAACTTTAGGCAGCGGATATATACACGTTTTATAACTGGTTCAGTTGTATAGGCCAGCCCACCCCATATTATGTTCCTTTCAACTAGTAAAATAGAGAAAACATGCCGAGATTTTCTTTTTATCATGATGATTTAATTTGTAGGATGTGAGGCTAATGATCCCTTGCTGTCGGGCACGTGATTTAACTCCCTACACTGGAAAATGACGGGGTTCGGTTTTCCCCATGTACATCACTAACACAACAATGAAGAAAGGCAGTGGCTAAACGCCCTGATTCGGTTCCTTACGAAAATTTACTACGAAACCGGATATCGTCTCTGATTGGCCAATTTTATCACGTGGTTATTCTATCGCGATAGGTTCGGTTCTAACCCTAACCCTCGCATTTTCTAATGTCCGCGTATCTCTTCGCCAATATGTCACTTTATTCTTAAATTCAAATTGTTTCATCGCCTCTAAAAGTGAATTTAGAGTCGTAAATTGAGCACCAACAAGGATATTCCTGTAGAGGCCGCCATATTAGAAAAGCCAGCTAATTTGTTCGAGAACTATCTAATCGCGGTAGGTGGTAATGATTATGCAGACTCGAGAAAACGAGCACTTCTACTTCACTGTATTGGTGCATATGGTCTTTCTACATATTATTCTTTAGTTGATGAGGGAAATTCGTACAGAATAGCTATGAATGCACTAGAAAAACATTTCGGTCATAAATATAATGTGAGTGTTGAACGGCTTAGATTTATGTCGAGAGCTCAGCTTCCAGGTGAAAGTATTGACGATTATGTTGCTGTACTTCGAAATTTAAGCGCAAATTGCAATTATGGCGTAATTAAAGATGAACTTATTCGTGATGTCATCGTCGAGAAAGCCCATCATAAAAGAGTTAGAGAACGACTTTTGATGGAGGATGAAATGACTTGAGACAAAGCTTTAGTTATCGCACGCCGTGTCGAATTAGCAATAGCAGAAACCAAAGATTTGAATCATTCGCACACTAATCAATCTACAAGCAAGACAAATAATTTAGAAGTTCAGAAAATTCATAGACAGGCTACAAATAGAGGACGTTGTCACAGAAGTTATTCTACACAATCTCCAAATGATTCATATAGGCCTAGTTCAAGAGGTAATTTCTCTTTTAGCCAGACTAGACCTAGATATCCGTCAATTCAACCAAATAGATTTCAGTATCGATTACCAATCAAACCACAACAACGCAATCAATCACAACCTGCTCAGTCTTATTCTCAAAGCTATTGTTTCCGTTGTGGTAGTTTTCAACACAAAGCCCAGTATCCACAATGCCCAGCTAGAAACCAACAGTGTCGTAATTGTTCAAAATATGGGCATTTTGCTTGAGTTTGTAGCGCATCAAGCCGACAAGTTAATTTTATGGATTCATCAGATTATTATGAACAAGTTCAACATGACAGCCATCCACAAGTTGATCTGATGACTGATGAATTTACAGTGTTGACAGTGACTAATGGTGCCAAGCGGAAATTAGATTGCGAAGTTATTCTGAATTCTATTCCAGTTACAATGCAAGTAGATACAGGTTCTCCAATCTCAATTATAAATAAGGTTATATATGATAGATATTTCAGTGATGTTATACTTACCCAGCCAGATACTTACCTTAGAAGTTATAACCAGTCATTCATAGATGTCATTGGTGTTGTTACCTTACCTGTCAGCTTCAAAGATCGACATTGCCTTTGTAAATTTTATGTTGTTTCATCAGGAGATCCATTGCTTGGTTTAGATTTGATAGCATCTTTACGTATGAATATTTGTGTCCAGCCTGCCACTTCCCAGATAGCTATGGAAGACCAAAGTGTTATAGTCAATAGAATTTCCTGTTTTGATGACTTAAACAAGAATTCCCGAAAGTGTTCAATGGTCTTGGCAAAGCCCAAAAGTTTCAGCACCACAGCTGCTCACAAACCCAGACCAACCCCCTTTGCATTAGAAAAAGAATTTAAAGAGGAAATTGATCAGCTGCCTCGAAAAGACATTATTATGGAAGTGGATCATACCGAATGGGTTAGTCCTGTCGTACTTAGTCGTAGAAAGAACAATAAACTTCGGGTGTGTGTTGACCTACGTAGTGTCAATAAAAACATTGTTCCTGTGAAGTATCCTCTACCGAATATCGAGACGCTTATAGGTTCAATTAAGAAAGCTGGATATGAATGAAGCTTACCACCAACTTCCACTGAGACCTGAAACTCAAGAACTTACGACATTTGCAACTCCACTTGGTTTGTACAGATACAAGACTTCTCCATTTGGTTTGGCAGATATTCCTGGATCTTTTCAAAAGATGATGGACATCATTCTAACCGGTTGCAAAGGAACATTCAATCTTCTTGATGATATCCTGATTGATGGAGAGACTGAAGACCAACATGATAAACGTCTTGTTGATGTATTGAAACGCCTTGAGAAACATGGGCTAACGCTAACTTCTTCAAAGTGCTACTTCAAAGTTCCCCGCGTAAATTGGGTCGGATTCTTCGTATCATCTTCTGGTGTCCATATGCTCACAGAAAATATCGATCCAGTCAATAATCTTGTTGCTCCTTCAACGGTGAAAGAACTTCAAAGTTTATTAGGTTTTTTTCAACCACTATTCACACTTCATACCAAATTTTGCTAATGCTATAGAACCACTCCAGAACAGTAGGACGTTAAACCCCATTTCATTTCATTTCATCTACCACTTCCGGTTTCGGAGTTATGACCCCCGAGCGAAGCCGGTCTGTTCGGGGTTGGCGGCTACACTAGGTCTGCGCCGAGTCTGAAATTTGGGGTATAGGGGTAGCTCGAACCGGGGAGTAGCATAGACAAGGTGGCGTTAGTCTACCACTTCCGGTTTCGGAGTTATGACCCCCGAGCGAAGTCTGTCTGTTCGGGGTTGGCGGCTACACTAGGTCTGCCCCGAGTCTGAAATTTGGGGTATAGGGGTAGCCAAATACCAAATTTTGCTAATGCTATAGAACCACTCCAGAACAGTAGGACGTTAAACCCCATTTCATTTCATTTCATCTACCACTTCCGGTTTCGGAGTTATGACCCCCGAGCGAAGCCGGTCTGTTCGGGGTTGGCGGCTACACTAGGTCTGCGCCGAGTCTGAAATTTGGGGTATAGGGGTAGCTCGAACCGGGGAGTAGCATAGACAAGGTGGCGTTAGTCTACCACTTCCGGTTTCGGAGTTATGACCCCCGAGCGAAGTCTGTCTGTTCGGGGTTGGCGGCTACACTAGGTCTGCCCCGAGTCTGAAATTTGGGGTATAGGGGTAGCTCGGACCGGAGGTAACATAGGCCAGGTGGCGTTAGTCTACCACTTCCGGTTTCGGAGTTATGACCCCCGAGCGAAGCCGGGTATCCTGCTAGTTATAGATATTTTACACCAAAGCTACGATTTATATATTCGTTCACGCTTGCTCAGGTTTAATTAAGTTTTATTTCTAATGTTACTTTATCAGATTTATTTTACGTTTGATGGACATTATTGAAAATACTGTTTCTAAATGTTAATTAAGGCTATTTATACTAAACAGCAAAAAAAACCACAAAAAAATGTCAGAGAGGCACTTTTATCAAATCATTCTAGAAAACGACTTACTAAATGGATCAAAGCAACAGTGTGTGAACACATTAGTGATTAATTCATCAGAATTCCAAGACATTGCGAGAAGGTTTAGAGTATGTACACAGTCTATACATCAGTATCTGGTGTGTCCGCCGCGAGTATCAATAACAGCACCACAGCGTCTGTACATGGAGTGGACCAGACGATTGATCAACGCCATTGGCACCTCGAACCACACTCTCAGAAAAGCCTGGCGCAATCCATCGGCTGTGTTTGGTCTCGATACGACGTTATTAAGTATCCTCTCAATTTCATCCCAAAGATGTTCAATCGGGTTTAAGTCCCACAAAGGGCTGACCAGTGCATACGTTGACACCGTTCTGCTGTAGAAAGTCCCGAGTAACTCTGACAGTGTGGACACGAGCGTTGTCATGCTGGAAAACGTTGTTTCGATGACTTGCGAAATGTGGTATGACGTGGGGTCTGAGAGCTTGATCGATATAACGCACTGCTGTGATGCCGCCTCCTCTCCCTGGACCAAGATTTTGGAACACCACAGGACCCACTCTCTGGTTCAGGCCGATTCCATCCCAAACCATTATGCTTGGACCTCCCCATGAGTCTCGATCCATGACACATTGGTCAGAATAACGCTGGTCACGTCGACGCCATATTCTGGTCCTGCCATCTACAGTTGATACGTAATACCGACTCTCATCTGTGAACAGAACAGTTCTCCATTGCCCGTGTCACCAGTTCTGGTCTTGTTGGGCAAACTGTAGACGTTCACGTCGATGGCAAAGGGGTGGGGATCGGCCCACGGTAAGGTCTACGGCAATGGATGTTCTCTCTGGTGAGACGTCGGCGCACTGTATCGGTACTGATGGGTCTTCCGTGTGTTCCCACTGTCTGACGTGCTGTCTCAGATGCGTGTGTGAAGGGAGCCTGCACGTGCTGTCGCACAACATGGCGTTCTTGTCGCCTTGTGGTAACCCTGGGTCTACCAGTTCGGGAGCGATGATCCGTGTTGTTGGTGGCCCGAAAGCGTTGTTGAAGCATGTAGATGGTCCGAACATTGACCTGGAAGTGTATTGGCAACGGCTTGGGCAGTGTGGCCAGCGTCGAGTCTTCCAAGCGCCAGGTTCATCTGAGCTGTCGTGAGTCGTGGAATGCTGCTGACATTGTAGTGTGAATGATTAATCCTGGTATGGGGGTGCATTTTATAGGGCTGGTCCCGATGAACTGCACGTGCAGCATGAGTTACATGAAAAGTATGGAGAACACATTACCATCTCAGAAGTCAGGTTGGGTTTTTGAGAACATTTCCTGGCTTCAATTCTGTGTTTGGGAAGGAGCCTTATTGCTCAGGTAAAGTTGGAGATGTGGTCACAAATATACAATAAACACATTTGGCAAGTTTTATGCAATGCGTCTATTCAGAGTAACATACCAACCTGACGTTTATTTTGCTGCTTAGTATATTATGTTTTAAGGAATGGTGAGGAGAAGCCAGTTACCAGTATATAATTACGGATATTTTTATGTTCCGTGTCCTGGGGCCCAAATACTAAAATTTGCCCCATTTTCTCTGAAAATAATGAATTGAAACTTCAAGGTGAAATTAACTGTATCTACTATCGCTCAGAAATGTCAATGAAATATCTATATCGGTGCATTGTCATATGTGGAGTCGTTGAGAAGTCATGTATGAAGTGAAAGTGTAGTTAAAGTAATCACTTCAGTGAAACCCTTTGGAACTGCACTGCTTGTTGTTGTTCGTGGTGTTTAAGGTACGCTTCCACGGTGGGTGATATCGCAGACAATCGGAACTGCAGGTGACCACTGAGTTTTATAAGCACGTCGAGGGAACTGACTCGGGAGGTGTTACTGAAGTAATGACTTCAGTGGAAGTGTATTAGAAGTGATTATTTACCAGAAGTACTCCAATAAACCGGAACAAAACCTGTCATTAATCAGATCATAACATACAAACACAGCAGATTTCAATAGAAATAACCTTCAAATCTCTGACCTGTAAAGCATGTACGAGTTATATTGGACGAATGACTGATCATGCATTACGAACATGTATAAAAATCTGTTTAGGGCGTATGAAGATGAATATTCCTCTCGTTTTTTAACAAACTAAATCAAAACGGTATGCAATTTCAATGTAATTCTAAAATATTGTTTACCTGAACAATGTTGGTTTTCATATCTATATCCATGCCGACACTGTTTGTCCAAAATGCAGCCACCCATAAATCGGTTTGAACGATCTTAAGAGCAGCATTCAAGTCAAAGGTATTCTGTTCCCATGTGTCCAATACATACCAACCTTGCATTTTAGGTAAAATCTTCTGTATGAACGGTTGTCCTAGTAGTTGTTCAGTTTTATAATCATTGATACAGGATCTGAAAAGGTCCTTTAGCTTTCGTTCAGATGACCATTCTGCATCTCGGTTATAGGGAGCTTCCATTAAATTTTTTAACCTTTCTTGATTCTTGTAATACAAATCCCCCATTGTGGTTCTCGAGGTTCTACCGGGGGTTAATGGGCGGGTAGAAGCGTAAGCACCACAGGCGTATTGGTAGAAATCGTTACAGGGGTCAAATGTTGTGTTCATTGTGTACCTCACATAAGCTGCTGACTCAAGACATTGATACGAAGTACATGTATCGGGGGGTGAATACGACTTCTTAGCTCCTAGAACACCAGCCAGAACAATCATGATGAAAAATGTACCTGCCAAAACTCCCAATAAAATGTACTCCCTTTTAGACCAATTTTTCAGATCATTCTTTGAAAACGAAAGTCCCGAAACCATGTTTCCAAAAACAGATGATGGATGCTTGAGATTATCTTCTTTGGTTTCCTCCATGGTGAATTTCTCCAGGACTGCTAAGTTTCAACGGTCACCCAAACTAGCAACTATATGCAAATGTTTACCTGGCTAATGTGACAAGACAACTTTAACTGGCTATTTACAGCTCTCTGCGAAAAATGACCACCGATACGGCACAACGCCCCCCTGGCCAAAGATGTGTGGATGTATTCAACACACCGATTATAATTTACATATCATTAGCATGTAAACAGGTAAAAGTATACCACCGTGATACTTTGTAACATGCATGCAAGAAATTTGATAGTCAGCTTATTAGGCTAAAATTTAAATAAAGCGATAGTGGTATATAAATTTTTATCTTGAATGAATTATTACTTTGTAAACACGTAAATAAAACGTAATTTGTAAAACTTCAGAAATATAGAACTTAAAAGGTTTGTAGTGAACATAAAGAATAATAAGCAAATTGGGGTTAATTGAAAGGAGGGGTATATATAGAATAGACAATTGATAGATCGATCAGTGGCGTGGTGACCGCTGATTTTGTATGAGCAACAAACAACTTCCCATGGGGCTAGAAAACCAAATATTTTATATCGTTGTGTGTGTGTGTGTGTGTGTGTGTGGGTGTGTGTATGTGGGGGGGGGGGGGTAAAGTCATGTATTTAACATCAAACAATTTTAATAAGATACCAAATTGACTAACAGATAGAACAACCAAAGAGGGAATATACAATATTTTAAACCATTGTCTTATGTAATTAAGCAAGTATTAAACTCAATAGTATTTCCAGATAATTTACTCAGAGAAGATATTTTGGCTTTTATGTTAAAGAAAACAAACTAGTATATATAAGGAATTGCTATTTGAGCAATAATGAATAATGATTGCAACAGTGCAATGCTGATTAGTTGGAATCAGGATTTATGGAGAAACCAATTTGTGGTCAAAATGTGAATTAGTCGAAATTGAAATATGGGTAAACCTAAATGAGGGACCTGGCATTCTTGACAAAAATTCATTGCTTATCAAATACAAGTCCATATTCGTACGTTTCAAAATTTTACTAAGTGTCATTTCTGTAGAAATATTGAGGAATCGAACGTAATGGTGGCAAGCGTACATTTTCAGTAGATATCTGGAATATATATCAAGGTCAAGACAGGCACCCCTACATGAAGGGAAGGTGCTTAACCGCCACACTTGTGTTTCTTCCTATCTTTCCTTGTGATTGGAAGTGGATGACTCAAAATGAAATAAAAGTAACATCCCAAAGTACTTATCCTATGAGATACCGTGGATACTTTACCCCTATGTGTAACTGGAGTCCCCCGCAAATCCTCAGGAGAATGTCATTCTATAAGATAAAATCCGATCGTGCTTGCACCCATTTACACGGATTTAAACAGATGAAGTTACAGGGGCGTATTGTAGTATACATTGAAAGTTTGTAACCATTTAAAAACTATATCAGATTTTTTTTCTTTTTATAAAGTGCAAATTGACAATAACATTAAGAGGGGAAACATGGAATCAAATTCCATTGACCAGTTCTTACCAAATTTTAATGCTTAATTTGTCAGGATTGTCTTTCTATAATGCATTGTAGAGATAATAAAGAATAATACATGTTATTATAATACGGATTAAAATATATTATAATTACGATGTAAATCTTTGCTTTATGTTAATGTAAATGTTCGAATTAATATAAGCCATTGTATGCGAGGTTCGAAATTGAACGTATGAGCATAACTATGTATGATATTGCATTTATCACGCAATAATACATTCTACAGTAGATATCGCTTGTGTGATAAATTTCATAATCTACTGCGATATCTCCTTAGGATGTATCACTACGCCGTAATGTAATCAGGTTCAGTAAAAGTGAAATCTATAGCAAAGAATTATATTTATTTATTTGTGGATGTAACAATGGATTGGGTGATAAATAAAATCTCTTCTTTTTTGATATTAAAAAATATCAACGAGTCGATAATGTAAAAAAAAACCCGAGGCTCTACGTTGAATTTTAGCGTAGTTACGTGTAATTGAATGACGTCGACGTTCATTTTATGTTTGACGAAGTACATGCGCCAGACAAGTATATCGTTTATCAGTTCTTTTAATATTCACAAAACGAAGCTTACAAATGCTAGAGAGGTTTTCTCTTTAAGTAACCACCAATTTCCGTTAAACGCTGTTAAGAAGATTCAGGTCGGTATAATTTTGTGCTATGTTATAATTATATCTGTCTTTGTTGGAATGAATTTTAGTAAGTCATCCCCTTAAATGAAAAAATGCATTTAAAAGCTTGTAACGTTTTAGTTCCGTGTACATATTGGAGTGTAAAAGTTCCCTTTTACAGTTGGAAGTCAATATAAGGGTAGGCCTAGCGCCGCTGTGTTGGCAAAATTTCCCGATCATAGCACACGGTAGGCTATGGCGTATGTCCGTCTTTATTAGTCCAGTCGGAGCAAAACACTAGAACGTTAAACCCCATTTCAACTTGTATTGTTTATTTATCAATGTAACAGTTTAGGATTAGATAAGTTTCTATCATAATTATTTGATTCGAGTGGGATAAATTTCCTATTTTGTTAGCTGCGTGACAGGTGTTAGATTTGCACAAAGTGACTGGTCTGTGCATTACAAGATATTTGTTGCTAATATCTTAATAGTATAAGTATTATAAGTATCAACAAGGTATATTAACCGGTATACAGTTTGTTAGGTCACGGCTCAACGTTCCGTTCCTTTTTAAGTACTATCAGTTTATCTATGTCAACATTAAAGGGGAATTCCCTTGGAATTTGAATTATGCATTTCAAGTTTTCCATTTCATTTTTACATGTACCTTTCTCTATTGAGTTTCAGGCAACATGTTAAGAACAAGGAAGCGCACGACAGTCACCATAAGAATTGCAAATTCTGTACAGGGATCGAGTGCCCCCAGCTAAACGTCCAAACGTAGGCTAACCAAATCAAAGGAGAAGGCCGGCGACAGGAGGGTGGGGGGGTCAACACCAGAGTCTGGTATCTCCTAACTTGACAGCTTGATAGAGCCTCACGGCATCATAGAGACTTTGGCTGTGGCAGAACCGTCCTGTAATATAAATTTATCACTAAATTCAGATTGCCCTCCTCAAATTCAAGGTGTCGGTGACACCACTGCAGCCAGTGTCTCGCAACAAATTAAAACAAAAATTGTGCATGGGGAATATGTTGATCTAGCTAGTCTTTTGGATCATTCCCCTCCAGTTGCTCGTGGAAAACAAGTAATAATTCAGCAAGGTCAACTTTTTTCTTGAACCGTCTAAACCTGGATCCAAATTTACGACGATCGAAGTTTGGTCAGATGCTTTTATTGTTTTAATGAGCATCTATTGTTCGATACATAATGACAAATACCCAGACTTGCTGAAATATATGCAAGTTATTCGAATGGCATCAAAAAGGGCAAATGATTTAGGGTGGAAGTTATAAGACGAACAGTCCATGGTCTGTTATAGATACGGAATTGTGGCTCCTATATATCAACTGTGCAAATCAATTAGGTGATGCTAAGGCTTCCCCTTCAAACTCCACGACCTTTAATAGTTCTACTCAAATTAACATACTATGCTATTCATATAATTATAATGGACAATGTCTTAGAGCATATTGTTCTTACCAGAATAGATGTTTGCGCTGTTTCAGGAACCATCCATTAATTTCAATTTCAGCTGAAATGTTTCATACCAACAAATTCAGTCCCGGTAGAGATACAAGTTTTCGGCCGACAACTCCTCTTTATCAGTCCTTCCCAAGATATCCCACAACAACTGTTAACCACAGATTTTTACGTCCTCAAGTTAGAGCCCCATTTTCCAAAGGTTCAGACATCCTGCGTTATAATTAGTAGATATTTCAAACACCCTCTTTAACTTTATGTTTTTATTGTAATAGTAGAGTAGTTCACGATTTTTGTTTGTGTTATAACAGATCTATGGTCCAAAGGTTGGACACCTATAAACCTTGCAGTATTAAATGGTTTACTTAATTCCTATTAAAATTTCAAGGCCCACGTCTGACCCGTATTTCACATAATCTTAAATCTTCTAAAACACTAGAATTTGAAAGATGGGTTAAATTAAGGTTGGTAGAATGATTGGACCCTTTTTATTCAAACCAATTTCTTATTTACAAGTTTCCCCAATCGAATTAGTACCCATGCTTTCTGTGGATTATAGGCTTATCACACATTTGTCTTATCCCCCTGGTGGTAGTATCACCGAATAGTGATATTAAATTTAATTTCCTTTTCAAATTTTATTTAAAGAATGGATAAATTATTTCTTAATTTTATATTCATCAATATTGCTGACTTTATATTACCAGTCTGTCTGTCTTTACTGCTTGATTAGTCCTGAATGTGTTATAATCTTTGATGCCTTAAGCAAAGAGTTATAGAATTAACAATAGTCACATCAGTAGAAAATGAACAAAATAATACTAAAGTAAAAGTACAAAGTAGCTTAAATGAAGATTTATCAGGTAAAATATGCAAGGGTCATGGACATAGAAAATATCAAGTTGGATTTGTCAGGACCATCAAAGGCATATCAACTGATCCTAACTCAGAAATATTAATTCCAGCTAAAATATTCAAAATACCTTTAAATGAAATTGTATATATTGAACCCTCGTCGAGAATTCAAAAAAAGAAAAATTTATTAGGTGGTAAAAGTATCGTAAAAACAAATATTAATAGAGGTTATGTTAGGTTTTTAAATTCCTCAGAGGAACAAATTAAAATTAAAGCTAATACTATAATTGCGAAAGCCCATATCATAAATAAAGATCATATTTTAGACATAGAGCAAGATAAACAAAATCGTGATAATTTTACAGTCTCAAATATCCAGTGTCCAGAACATGAATCAGTGGAATTAGCTAAGTCTTTGGGATTTAATTTAGAAAATTCTGATTTATCGCAAAAACAGAAGACAAAATTACTAGACTTCTTAGGTCAATACAGATATATATTTGCAACAAATCTAGCAGAATTAGGCAAAGCAAAAGGGTATATGCACAAAATTAATACAAATAATGCACCACCAATTAGATCACGCC